CGGCTGTGCTAAGGGAAAGAGACTAAGCGCGGAGAGGAGAGTATGAGGCGAGAGAGCGCAACAGATGAGAGGGCGCCAGACAACAGCCTGATAAAAAAAAAAATTGCAGCTGCAGCAGCTTACTTTGCAAGGCCCTAGCGCTCTTGTCGGGTGATTTCCGTGCACGGAACGCCACATTTGTGATTGTCCTCTAGGGGTCTATACTACAGACCGAAGAGAAGCTTCACAAACCTCTGCCTGGGTTGTGCCTTTAAGGAAAGTAGAGTAGCTGAAATAATGTGCATGTGTGAGAGCTCCCAAGCAGCACTGCAAAATGCCGAATTGCCTAGCCTCGCGATTGACAGAAATCCTGAGGCCTCACACTATGAAAAAAGTAGTGTGAGGCTGTTCTATGGGTATTTCAACTTGACAAACAATCATTTTCGAATCTCGGCAAACACCCAGTATTTATTTCTATAATAAACAGTATAAATATAGTAATGGGTTCTTTAACATCTCTGGCTCACGCTTCCGAAGAGGCGACGATCTGACATTTTCTGCGAAGTAGGTTTTCCGTGTAGTAAGTTCAGAGCGTGGCCGGAGTGCACAATCCACAAGTGAGGGGACAGCGCCTCTCCGTTGCAAGACGTACTTCGTAGTTCCCATGGGTGCACATAGGTTTCAGTTCAGCGCATTTGCTCTGGACCAGGTTCATCTACACTGTCCGCACATTCTGAATTCAAAGCTTGAAAATTATAGCTGCGCAACAAAATTTTACACTGATCTATAAAATATTTCTAGGATCGTTCTGTCATAATGAAGCTTTTATGTTACTTATCTCAGAGGAACAGAATATTTTTATATTTTTAATGCAAAAATATAAGCTTACCCTGTTGTGTGGCTGCTGAACTGGAAAAATTAGATGCTTTCCCGTTACAGTAACCGCAGGTAACTGGGCAAGTGCGGCGCATCATGCGAATATAGCTAAATGCATACTATTTCACATAGAGCATCAGAAGTTCGTCGGATCGCCCAGATGACGCCGGGATATTCTCCTTGAGAGAAGTCTATCGGCTACCACCGAGCGATTGCCTCTTTATGGAACCGGCGAAATACCCTCTTGTGGAATAATCCTGGACCACAAAATTCTTTTATTTCTGAATATGGATATTGTTTTCAAAAATCGTCTACCATTACGGCGTTGTCAACTCCTGGGTGTTACCTCTTTCGTAATATCACGTAGAATGAGACCGAATCGAGCAGGACTTCACCATAGAACTTCAGCTCATGGCGCGATTTTCAAAACGGTTTGCTGCATGTTATTGGCACGTGCGCGGAGCGTAAAACTGATGATCATTTCTCTGAGCGGTGAGGCTCGCCAACTTCAGCGCAATAACGGGATAAGAAATTTGTATCGAGATGATGGCAAAGGTTTCCGGTGGTTTATGAATAACAACTCCACGGCATTCTAGAGCGCTGTGACAGTTACTATTGGAACGCTTATTTTGTTCAGTAAACAATTAGGTCTATATGAGCCCAAGAACTTGGAAATCAGGGAAATGTGAAAATTTGTCTCTCTTGGGGATCGACCCAGAAGTCCTGATTTTGACTTTACTTTTGGTTTTTGGCATTGCCGGAGCCGCTCAGAAGCATGGCGTTTCAGTATTAGGCTCTCGGCGCGCTTGGTCTCTTTACAATTTGCCGACAAGAGAAACGTTTTGAAAAAGCTGTCCATTTTCGTTGTGATGAAGCCTATTCTTATTCCGTGAGCGTCTCAGGGCACTTTTAAAAAACACTGAATGGTCTCCACTTCCTCTCCCTTTCGAAATCGCCCTTGTCATGTGTTCTCACAAGCTAAAACACGGGAGTGAAGCATTGATATTCGAAACCTGAAACTCAACCTCTCCCGTTTCTTCAGGATTCGGCTTAATCCATTAACTGCCTCTATTTTGCATACGCACAAATCGACACAATCATGAGGTCTGACAAACCGACACCCCAAGGTTCTTGTGAATATAATGAATAGCTGAAATGGGAGGAAATCATGAAGGCAGTCACTGGAATCTCATGCTCTCTGAATCCAACCCTAAAGGCAAGGGTCATGATTAATTTGAAGTGGTAATCCAACTCGAATACGAAAGTAGGGGTGCGGAGTGGAGCACAAGTGGAGAAGAAGTAGGAAATATGGGAAAATACCAGCCTACGCTGCGGACGACTCTAACAAGAAGGTAGGAAGATGAGAGTAACGGAGGGGGTGAAAAAACTCTTGGTTGAGAGAACACAGCTGATCAAGCAAAATGACACTTCATCTCTTTTCTGCAAGCAAATAGAACAAACGCACCTGGGATGTTCGACAAAGTTTTCGTCTTCGGATGCAGTCTGATCGTCCTGACGACGGATTAACTAGATCTCGGCAATTGCCCGGAAGCGCACTGGTCCGAACACCTGTCTAGAAATCTTATTTCATTAGAGGAGGAATTCACGATAAGAACGAAGGTCGAAAGAAGGGGAAATTGCATAGTTGGGAGACAGGCGGACCTGAGGGTGCTGACCGACGCGCAATTGGCAGCGAAAGATTTGACCTCGGCGATCTAGCATGGCTCACTCTTGGCGCGGTTGGCGGGGTACGCCCACCGACTATCTAATCACTCGCCGCAGGTCTATACGTGGCGAGTGATTAGATAGCAGAGAGAGCGTAGTGTTGAAGAGGGCACAGCGATGAGAGTCGCATCAATGCGCAAATCAACGGGCAAGGGGTCCCATTTCTCGGGTTCTGGGCCGTTTCTCATGGTTCTTCCTTCTTTCCTGCTCCACTGCTATACCCGTATTTTCGAGTATTGGGTTGTCCCATAATTCCTGTCCGATTTTTGATCAAATTCAAATTTCTTCAAGTCGAATTAGTGTCATTGCGAAATATGTTGGTATGTCAAAGAGTGCATCTAGACCGTTAGCCAGGACGTTTTGGAAGGTCAAACCCGCATCGGAATAACTGAGTAGAAGTCGAAATAGATCAGTGACAATAACGAACGATTATGCTTTATGATCCTCAAATAGACGCTGTTGCAAGGAGGACACTAGAGAAGATCAGCGCTGTTTGGCTCAGTCTCTGCTACTGATCGGTCACTGAGCTAGAGGTTCGGTCGCAATGGCAAAGACAATACGAGCTGTGAAAATCAGCCTCATCCTGGGCCTCCACTCACTTTCGATGAGGACCCCTTGCGCCACGGATTGGAAGTGCACACGGACGCTACTACCAGGTATTGTAGCAGACACCTGGGCGCAGCCGATGCACCAGCACACGCCATCAGGATGAAGTGGGCGGCAGCAGAATGAAGACTTGATGGAAACCATATGCACCGACCAGCCATGACCGAGAAGCTGGTCTGACCCTCTGGGGGAATTTCATTCTGTGACCTCAATAGCAGAGCGTTCCCTAGTTGATCACTAGTGGGGATGAGTCATGAGTTCACTACGACAACAACACGCAGCACGCCTGTTGGCTACCTCGGTTGGCCTGTTGGGGGACACCCCGTAACTTCGCCCATTCTAGGAGGAAAGCATCCAAGGTTCCCTGGTGAATGGATGCATATCGGTGATTATGATAATGGTTATATTTTTGATCAATTGGTTTTAGAGGAAGATAAAACTCGATGAAAGAAAGTGTCGAAATTCGGACAGGAATTATGGGACAACCCAATGAATAAGATTTTAAAATCCTTAAACCATACGTGTATCGAAGGCGTCGTCGATCTAATTCTGCGAATCCTATTGAGTGATGCTCTTCGTCTTCGTTGTGATCGCCGTGTTGATCGTGATGGTGCCCTTGTCGTTGTTATTTTTATCTAATGTTGGCATTTACTCAATAGGATATTGCTAAACATTACTGAGCATTATTATTAGAAGAAATTTGCTCACTAACCGTTCTCTGACGCTGGCTTCGACTTACACCAAGTCTCCTTGTCACGGCACGTCTTTTCCTAGTCGAAGCTATTCCGGAAACACTTCTGGACGTCCTTCGCCTGCGCTGTGGTCTAAGAGAAGGATGTCAACGGCTTTGGTGAGGATCGTCTTACCTAAGCACAGGAATGCGAACAGGTTACGGAAACGACTATGAACAGTGAGTATATCGGAGTATACATGTGATGCTATCAAAAAAAGTTAAATAAGCACCGTTCCACGAGGCCTTCGACTGGTTCCTGATCTCCGAGTACTGATTCGTCTCGCTCTCGTGAATTTAGGGGAGGGAGCAGTCTAAACAAGATTCTTCCTATTCGGTTATAATAATCCTGCTAGCTATTAACAACATACCTGCACCAATCAGAAGCAATGGAACCGAAATGAAAAAAGGAAGGAAGGATCAATGAACCAAAAACTTTATATCACTAACCGATCTTCGACGGCGAATGCGTCGTGAAACCATTGTAATCCTCGCTGTTGGGATCTGAACACAATAACCATTGTCAGAATATATGTCTTGGAAGAATTTGGGATTCCTCAAAGAATGAAGAATTCTAGGTGCTCGAAAGTTCTTCTTCGGAGTGAAAGCAAAATGATACAATCGAGACGCGAAACCTTTTGCTTTGCACTTTTTTAATGCGTTACTCCGCAACACTTCATGCTTACCGTTCTGGACTTTAGGGTTGATCGAAGCCTTCGTGTTTGTGAATATTTTCGAGTGGAAAGTGATGGACCGTTCTGATGAGCTTGCTGGAGGACGTTTGCATATCGGTTTGTGCTGACTTGTGTCCGGCAAGTGTAGATAAGGAAGTGGCTATAGCTGTCGTTTCGGCCTCTTTGGCCGCTCCTTGTGTGGTCACTGTCGATGACACAGTGGTGGCGATGGTTTCGTTGTCGTCGCGAAGCGGTTCAAACGTCGTCGTGGACGGAAGCAGTTGTGGACGGAATCTCTGCAGTGGTCGGCTCGCTCGCATCATCCAGTGCGGTCGTCGAGGTTGCAGTGGACGAGGAAGCCGTCGCTGTCGATTCAGTCTCCTTGGCCGCTCCTTGTGTGGTCACTGTCGATGACACAGTGGTGGCGGTGGTTTCGTTGTCGTCGCGAAGCGGTTCAAACGTCGTCGTGGACGGAGCAGTTGTGGACGGAATCTCTGCAGTGGTCGGCTCGCTCGCATCATCCAAGTGCGGTCGTCGAGGTTGCAGTGGACGAGGAAGCCGTCGTTGTCGATTCAGTCTCCTTGGCCGCTCCTTCTGTGGTCACTGTCGATGACACAGTGGTGGCGGTGGTTTCGTTGTCGTCGCGAAGCGGTTCAAACGTCGTCGTGGACGGAGCAGTTGTGGACGGAATCTCTGCAGTGGTCGGCTCGCTCGCATCATCCAATGCGGTCGTCGAGGTTGCAGTGGACGAAGAGGCCGTCGCTGTCGATTCAGTCTCCTTGGCCGCTCCTTCTGTGGTCAGTGTCGATGACACAGTGGTGGCGGTGGTTTCGTTGTCGTCGCGAAGCGGTTCAAACGTCGTCGTGGACGGAGCAGTTGTGGACGGAATCTCTGCAGTGGTCGGCTCGCTCGCATCATCCAATGCGGTCGTCGAGGTTGCAGTGGACGAAAAGGCCGTCGCTGTCGATTCAGTCTCCTTGGCCGCTCCTTCTGTGGTCAGTGTCGATGACACAGTGGTGGCGGTGGTTTCGTTGTCGTCGCGGAGCGCTTCGGATGTCCGTCGTGAAGGGAGCTGTTGTGGTTGGATTCGCCGTAGTGGTCGGCTCGCTCGCATCATCCAATGCGGTCGTCGAGGTTGCAGTGGACGAAGAGGCCGTCGCTGTCGATTCGGTCTCCTTTGGCCGCTCCTTGTGTGGTCACTGTCGATGACACAGTGGTGGCGGTGGTTTCGTTGTCGTCGCGAAGCGGTTCAAACGTCGTCGTGGACGGAGCAGTTGTGGACGGAATCTCTGCAGTGGTCGGCTCGCTCGCATCATCCAATGCGGTCGTCGAGGTTGCAGTGGACGAGGAAGCCGTCGCTGTCGATTCAGTCTCCTTGGCCGCTCCTTCTGTGGTCACTGTCGATGACACAGTGGTGGCGGTGGTTTCGTTGTCGTCGCGAAGCGCTTCGGATGTCGTCGTGAAGGGAGCAGTTGTGGACGGAATCTCTGCAGTGGTCGGCTCGCTCGCATCATCCAATGCGGTCGTCGAGGTTGCAGTGGACGAAAAGGCCGTCGCTGTCGATTCGTT